TCCGCACTTTGTCCATGAAATCAGATGCGTCTGACAACGTCACTAGCAGTTATTTTTAGCTTGAGCGACTCCCCAAAAATGACCCGTCAGCTGTTAAGTCTTTGACAGGGGTTCTCGAAACTTTGGAACTCGGGGAGGACTGCTAAAAATCTTAAGTACCATCATGTGCACCATTCGTACTTGCCTGGATACCTGATTTTTTTTTTTTTATACATATTAGTTGCTGGTCTACCACCTAGAATAACGAGAGCGGTACATGCATCCACAGTTTGAGGATCACTGCTTAAGGCATGTCGCAGTAAAAAGAAAGAAAACAATCGGTGGGAATGTGTGTCTAGACGTAATAATTCTATAGTTTATAGCATGGTTTTATCTTAACGGATTTTTAAATGCTGGCTTTACTACTTTTAAAGTTATCTGAAGAAAAAAAAATTGATAGTGATACAATGCACTTTGGTGAGATGAGGGGGTTTGGACAGAGCAGTTCGCCCCGGGCGGCCCTTTTTTTTGTCGGGGGAGGGTGGCATTTTGAATCCATTGCATATGCTATGTTTGGCTTTTATGTTTGACGGCTACGTCGTGTGTCTTGTGGGACACTCCAGCAAGAGTACGACGATTTTGGTAATTAATGGGTATAGCTGGTCTATAATTAGTGGGTATCACCAGGAGTTAATTGTTGGGTATTGCCGGGAGTAAATTGGTGGGTATCGCCGGGAGTAAATTGGTGGGTATCGTCGGGAGTTAATTGGTGAGTATCGCCGGGAGATAATTGGTGGTATATACCTGGAAGATAATAAATGGGGGCATTTCCAGGAGGAAAACAGTGGGGTTTAAAATCAACAAGATATTTTTACCAGTTTGGGGATCACTGCTCTAATTCCGTGTGATGCATTGTCAGGTCAAGCAACTCCAGGTCGTGACACCACAGTGCACTGACACAGAACCAGAAAAAAAAATGGCCTACTATCTTGTGCAGACACGTCACGGCTTTGATCAGGGGACTTAATTCCAGAACACTGGACGCCATTCTCCCACCCCTTCCTTGCCCCATTACTTTGTTTATTGAAGGGAAATTATCGGAACTTATCGATTTTGGGTTCAGCTCCTGCTGTTTACCTTGCTACTATGGTTACTCTATTAACAAAAAAAATCGATTATTAGACTTAACTTTTCCCTTTTTTTTATATAGCTCAAGACCAATAGATATTTTGGTCACAACAAGCTGTCTAGCCTTGCCATTAAGTCTTGGAGGACTATACAATGTTGTCACAATGCTGAAAGTTAAGCTGCATTGGCGGAAGAATAAGAAAGTAGTTCGGATACGGTTATTATGTCTGAAATTTTACAAATATATTTGTTGTTGCTGTTCATTGGCGTCGCACGACCATTGATGGCGTATCCAGACACGTCATTCTCTTTACCATAACATACATTGGATATGTATATGCAGTGGCGTGAAAAGGTTAAGTGCCAACCAGGGCGGGGTCAAGATTAGTGTCGCCCACCTTCCACGAAAAAAACTCTGCATTTGGCCAAAATATGACCTCTTCTGATATATAAAGAAAAAGGGGCGCCTGGGGCTGACGCCCCCTCCCAGCCTCAGCACCCCTTTCCTACGCCACTGTATACATGGATTAACGCTTATTGTAAGAACAAAAATCGTTATTTTACCATAGGTTTTGTGTGTGTGTTTTTTTTTTACTTTCCTCACCATTTATGTTTATAATTCTAAACCGTTGCTACGCCCCTGCTTTTATCGTTTCTTTCACAATACGCCCCTTCTTCCACCAGCTGATCCACATTTCAAGATAGTGTGCAATAAAAAATACTATATATTTAATAACTTTAATTTTTTAGATGAGTATATTTTAGATTTCGGCGAATTCATGGCTATAAAACTACTTTTTACAACAAACAAAAAACATGAGTCGGTGACGCTGCTGAGAGATGACCACCTGACGTCTGACAAGCAACAGGTGGACAGCGGCTCGAACCGTGCCCTCTATTCAAATTGCTGACAATCGATGTGACATTTCAAATGTTCAAAGTTTGTGGACAATGAGGCCAACGACTAGAAGGTCATTTTCCAACACGGATCGTTTGAGACGTCACCCTAAAGTCCCCCAGACTCGTTTGCAAGTGATTTAAGATTGAACACTCGCAGCGCCATCTATTTTGAGCAATTAAAAAATATCACTATAGTTCTATTTTTTATTAGAAAAAATCAACACAAAAAAAAGGGGGCTAAACATTTTTACATAAAAGGAAACGATTCGGTAGTTTGTGTCATTGGGCTTGTTGAAAAAAACTGGCAATGTTGGCAGGCCCGTTCTTAGGCATACGCTGACTGCGCATCCGCGTAGGGCCCCGAACGCGAGGGGGCCCTCGTGAGGCGCCCTTGATCCCCTGGTTTTTTTTTTTAAACTGGCACTGCAGCCGTCTGTGTCACTCACGTTACCTTCCTCATCCTGAAATTTATCATTCTGAGTTGAATTCGGAGGCAGGGGAAGGGAAGCAGCAAGGGGGGGGGAGCTTTGGGGGTGGCAGACAGGAAATCGGGGGCTTGGCCGTGGGGATGGGAACGTATAAATAGAGATCGGTTAGTCTGGCTAAACCAGATTAACCAAAGTATCAATATGGTTAGTGGTTACACGTGAGCTGAGAGGAAACATTGATGAAGGCAGAATGGAGGTGCTGCAGTGGTGGGTGGTGTTTTCTCCTCAGCTCAAGGGAGCTCCACCCCCGGACACCCCCTTTCTGGGGACCCCAACCTACGCTCCATGCTTAGGGCCCCCAAACTCCTAAGAACGGCTCTGATGTTGGATTTTTTTGTTTTCAACCTCTAAACCAAACATTTTATTTTTCTTGATATTACCCTTAATCAGTTGTCTATTTTATACAAATTTTTTCAAGATTTCGTTTGTGATGCAGATCAGGGGTTACACAGCTTCAGGACTATGAGATCAGGAGTTACACAGCATTAGGACTATGAGATCAGGACTTACACAGCTTCAGGACTATGACATCAGGAGTTACACGGCTTATCTCTTGACAAACATGAATCCTTTCAATACCCACTGGCTTAAAGCAGGCCTGCACAACATACGGCACGCCAGCACCCACTTTGCGGCCCGCACAAGTTAATAACCCCCCCCCCCTCCCTACGGTACTATTTTCTTTCGGTCCGCACAAGTTTTTCATTAAGTATTACGTCCCGCCTTACATTTTGAGTTGTGCAGTCCTGGCTAAATGGAGGGATTCAAGGGGAAGATCGAGGCTATGGTGCGGGTCTTTGGTTTTTCGCCCTGAGCTGGAGGTGATACGATTTCTTAGTGCTACGAGCTCAAAAAAGGTTTGGTTTAGTTACTTTTTTAAAAGCAAAAATGTAAGGGTGGGGTGAAGGGGCGGGGTGAAGGGGCGGGGTGAAGGGGAGGGGTGAAGGGGCGGGGAGAAGGGGCGGGGTGAAGGGGGGGGGTGACGGGGTGGGGTGAAGGGGAGGG